CGCGGGGCTCACATCTGCTCTCCCCGATGTCACCGCAGGCGGAGCAGCTGGCCCGGGAGCTCACCTGGTGCGTGGAGCAGCTGGAGCTGGGCCTCAAGATGCAGAGACCCAGCCCCAAACAGAGTGAGTGGGCGGCGCTTTGGAGGCCGCAGGACAGGAGGTGCGGGTGGAGGAGGCACTAGGTGACCAGTTTGTACCCGCAGAAGAGCAGGCCCTCGGGGCCATCCGGACCCTGTGCAGCGGGAAAACGCCCCTTCCCCGGAAGAGGCAGCTGATGCGATCCTTGTTTGGGGACTACAGGGCTCGAATGGAAGCCGAGCGGCAGGAGGCCCTGCGGGCTCTCAGGGCTGGTGAGTAGCTGGGGGTGGCCTGAGGGGCCCGGGAAGGGGCCTCTGCAGTCAGTGTGGAAGCTCGGGTCAGTGGGGCTGGCAGGCAGGGTGGGCTCAGGGAAGCTTGGCCTTGAAGGCAGGGGTCACCCCACGGGTACCCTTTTCTGTGGTTCTAAATAGAGGGCAATGGTAATCCCTACCTTAGAATTTTTAGTGACTGCCAAGTTGCTAGAGCTGTGTAGCGTTGTTAAGCTCATTCCTGACTGTCACTTATCTCCCCCCAGCAGCCCACTCAGCCCGAGTGCAGCCTGTAGATGAGGCCACAAGAAAGAAGAGCAGAAGAGTCTGCAGGGTTCGCCTGGGAGGGGGAACCAGGGCCCCCCTGGACACTCCAGATGGAGAGTTTAGGTTCAACTTCTTCTAACCTCTCCCCACCCTGGAACAGCCCTGTTTCTGGGTGCTGTGGTTTGTCTTGCTTGTAGGCCTTTCTGGGAGTGCTGCGGGCTTGGTCTTTGTCTGGTTCGACAGTGTGTAACTAATGAGGACAAAGTACATGACCAGGTGATGTAAGCGTGTGAAGTGAGAGAGCACAATTGTTTTTATGGCAGCTCTTTTGAGGCCTAGGAAAAAACACTTCCTTTTTTTTTTTTTTTTAAAGATCTTATTTCTACACACAAGAGCTGGGGTGTAGGCAAGAGGTGTTAAGGGTGAGGATTCCCCAGAGACAGAACGGGGAGCAGAGCAGGTGGCTCCACTGAAATACACTGCTGTGGGGGGTAGCGGGGAGACAGGAGAGGTCTGCTGCGCCCTGGGGGTCACTCCCTGGCCAGAGATTGAACTCTTGTTTTATTGGCTATGGATCCCTTCATAGTGCTGCACTTTCACCCCTTGGTTCACCAGGGAGGCCCCAAAATGTTTCCAACATTAAATTGCTTATAATCTCAGTGAACCCAGTGACGTAATCTCTCTTCTGGGATGGCAAATAATTGACCCCATGGAGGCTGTTGGACAAACTACCTTTTCCACATGAAGTTCTAGTCCTCTTCCCTTGGAAGGTCCCTCTAGTTGAAGAGTAGGGTGCTGTATTAGATGCAGCACTTTTAAGCTAGATGTTCTGTGTGGAGGTATTTTTAAAGTATTCTTGCTGCTGATTATGTGGAGGAAATCTTAAGTCCTTCGTCTTCATCTATGAAAATACAGTAGTATTTGTATTTTACAAAGAGAAATTTTGTAAGAATAATGTTTGAGACACTCGGGAAAATAAAAGTGTCACAAATAGTCATCATGTAGTTGGTTATCTAATCGTAAATCAAAAGCCAATCATCCGTTGCAACTTGACATCAAGGTAAACTAATGAGAATTTGGCTGTATGAGCTCGGATCCAACAGTGACTGTGATCTGAGGTCCTGGTTAGGGTTAAGGGTTGGTGTTGAGGTTTCGGATGGAGATTAAGGGTCAGGGGCAGAAGTCAGTTGGGTTAGAAGGTACGAGATTACAGAGTCGAAGCATCTGTGTTGAAGGTTAGACCGGGGTCAAGTCTAGATCTAGGGTTCAGGGTTAGCGTCCAAGCTTAGCATAACCGGCCTGTTGTGGCTGTTCTGCCTCGGCCTCCGCACCTGTGTGTGGCCTCTCACGCACTTGTGTTTAGAAACGATTTGGACAAGGCACCCCGCATGGCTGCCCTGAGAAATGACCCACATCACGAGGTGGCCGGGGACACCTGGTCACCGCTGAGTGACTGTGAGCTCACGGTCTGCAGCGAGCTTGGAAATGACGCCAGGCTCCTGCACAGAATGTTTTCCCTGTATATGTGGCCAACGTGTCCTCCCGGTTCTATAATTGCTACCCTTTGATCCCTTAGAAGTCCTGTTCCCCACAAAGCCGAATACCCTCTGCCACGGTCACATAGTTATGCTTGCTCACTGTTACTAAGTAAATAGCAAGAAGCCTGTTTATTGCACAGCAGCATCTTACCTTGCAAACTTGTGCCACGACTCATTTCTCAGGCGTGCTCCCGGGGACATGTGGGTGCGCCCCTGTACTCCAGACTAGCCCACTTTCCTCAGTCTCCAGGTGTATAGACCTGCCCAGGCTCACGTGTGAGTGTGGGGTTGCCTGTGGACTTTCTGCAGTTTGCCCCTCTCCTGTCATGGGTCTTACAGAAGAGGGAAGAAGTGTGTGCTTTCCTCACTGATCATCCCCAGTGCAGCGGGGTGGTCTGCATCAAGTGGTCTAGGGTGTGCTGGGCCTGAGGCCTAGCAGGGTGACCTTCCACCCCCACCTGGAAGGGGGCTGTTTGCTCCACTCTGCTCAGGAGACCCAGGTGCCAGGATACTGACTGCATGGCGACGACTGGGTGCAGGCACCTGCTAGCTCCCAGGTGTGTGTGATCTTTGAGAGCTGGTAGTGCCCGGCTGGGACTGGCTACACCCTGTGTCCCATCGAGTGGGCAGCAGTAGCCAGTCTGGTCTCAAACCGGACAACCCTTGGCCTCCAGCATTCAGGCAGGTGTTTGAGGCCCTCTGGCTTAGCCCAGTCCGTCATGTTCTGGGCCCAGTTACTGAGTTGACCTGCTGCTGGACTATATAGACATCCCAGCCCCTTGGGGTGTTTCTGTTTCCAGCATCCATGTGCTTGAGAAACGCACTCCCAGCCCTCAGCCTTTTAGTTTTCCAGGAGGGCACGAAGCATGTACCCCTGACACCACAACTGGACATCTGGCTGTAGCCCTGCAACCCTCTGGACTTGCAGATGTAATAAGCCTTTGGCGTTTAAGCTTACTCAGAATCTCAGATATAGTAGAGACAGTTTCACACTGAGGCCCGTGGTCTTGGTGGGGCATGTGGCTCCATGACCAGCCCTTCTGGCCTCCGGAAAGCTGGCTGACTGGCTCTTAGTCTAATGGAATAATAATCTTTGAGGCTCAATTGGTCAAGAACATTCTACCGAGAATGGCAATGAAGGGGGCATACGCGTCTGTCCTTGTGCCTGCAGAGCAGCCTACAGAGGCCCTGTGTGCTGTCTGCCCGTGTTAAGCAAAAGCTGTCTCCACACACCCCGACCGGAACTTCCCTTACCTGCATTACACTAACAGCGGCCAGGTGGCTGTCAACATTTGCCACTTAGTTCACTCCTTGCTGCGTTACAGCTCACATGTGTTGTGGGCTCAGAATTGTCGGCTAATACCCACTGGAGAAGCTGACACTTGGGGGCCCTCCCTGGTGGCGCAGTGGGTTGAGGCACTGCACTGCGACGCTGGCCCGGTCACTTTCAGCCATCTGTGGAGTTTGATCCCTGCCTGGGATGTGACCTACATGGCGCGGCAGACCTCTCCTCTCTCTGCTCCCTTCAGCAGTGGACTTCATTGATATGGCTGTTCTGCTGCCCATTCTCTCTGGTAACTCCTCTCACAGCCCTCACATCTCTGGCCTGTACCCCAGTTCTTGTATGCACAAATAAATCTTTATAAAAAAAGAAAACTGACACAGTCCACTATTTAACCTGTTGTGCCACCAGGATGGGCCTGGTGTAAGTTTTATCAAGTATCTGTACACATTTATTTCAAGCCAACTGTTTTCCAGTTGTTCCCTAACCACTTTGAAAAGATCACCTTGTTAGGGTATTTTTCCCGTTAGAGTATTTAAATAGCACGTTTGAGGGAAGTTTGAGAGCGGTCTGGGAGGAGCGAGCAGGGCGCCACGCACGCGCATAGCATGTAGACCTGGACCAGAGTTCGCGTGACAGGCAGGCAGCGCCTGCAGAGGGGTGGACGCCACTTCTGTCAGACTGAGCTGTCCCAGAGAGAGGGAAGTGTCTTGAGTCCAGATGCTGGGAGGGGAGCTGCCCACCTGGAACGAAGTCTGGTCCCCCATAATTAACTGGCTGCTAGAGGAAGGTTGGGGCACTCTGGAGTGTGCTGCTTGGGGCTCAGAGAGGGGCTTGCTGCCCTCTGACAAAGGCCTGTGAAAGGCTCAGTCCCCATCCCTTGCCTTGGTTTCAGCAGTCATGCCAGGCAGAGGGAACGTGGTATTTCCCGGCAATATTTCTTTTAAAAAAAATTTCTTCTGAGTCCTCCCTGGTGGTGCAATGGGTTAAAGTGCAGCTTTGCCAACTATCAAAAGTCTGTTGGCCAGGGAGTAAGCCCCAGGGCGCAGGAGACCTCCTCACCTGCCCGCTGCTCCCCTCAGCAGTGTGCTTCACTTGATGTCCCTGTTCTGCTCCCCACTGTCCCTGGTGAATCCTCTCACCGCCCCCGCAAGCTGGCCCACACTCCAGTTCTTGTATGCATAAATAAATGAATCAATCTTAAAAAAATC